TAAACATTCGGCAATCGCTATGCTGCCCGTTCCTTCAATATGTTCACATAATCTAGCGACGGAGGCATGAATTTGTTGGTTTAAATACCATTCAAAATCTAGCAAAAATATGAACTGAAATAAATAAATAATATTTATCAAAAAATTTATGTGCTTTTAAACGTACCAGGTTGTAAATTAGAGTCTTCTTTTCGGATTTCATCTGGATGGAATGCTTTATCAGCAAGACCTTTGCTAGCTATGGCATTTTCATCTGTTCTAATGCATATCACGTAAGGAATGGTATTTCCTTGGCGAGCGCTCATTCCTCTATTTTTCATCCGTAATGCAACTTGCACATGCGGTTGACTTTTAACATCAGCATAAGCCTCCGGCGCTTTCGTGAGGTTCTATAAGAGTGCAATTAAATCGTGAAATTTTTTCTATCATACACTTTAGCATGCTTAGTCGTGTTATTTTTATTTATTTATTTTTACCTTATTTATGACAAATTTATTAATAGAAAATTTGCCAGAACGAACTTCATGTCCTAACTGTGTCAGATATTCGTGGATATTATTCACCACCTCAGTCCGATCAAAAGAAGATAAAATTTGATCCAAAACATATCTAAATATGAAGCAGAAACATTAGCTTGAAAACAATATCAATAAATAAATATCAAATATTGTCAGTAATTATATTCATGTACTTAGAAGCATTTCGAACCAATTCACACCAATCTCTTCTGACCAGATCGACACCTTTTGTCTCGTGATGTCGCGTCAAAATGCCATTATTTTCTTCTATAACAACGGCAGCGTATTTTTTCTTTCGCAAAAGCAGCATCTTTTCAAAAAACCCATCAATTTCGATCTCAAGAAGTTTATATTGTTGGTTAACCTTCTTTTTCAGCATCTTTCCTATTTCAGAAGCTTCATGTAATTCTGTGGTGTTGGTGTTGATCATTATTGAATCAGTGTCACCATATATGACCTATGCGAATATATAATATTAAACACTTAATAAATTCGAAAATATTAAATCTGAGCATCAATAATAGGTTTTATACCTCCACGCCTTCATTTTCTGTCAAATTAACAGTATCTTGGAGAATTTCCCGACCCTTAGAAGTGATTAACATGGCCAAAGCTTTCGCATAAAACCGAGATTGTGGAAAGCCCAAACAACCATACATGCTGTTTGCTGTAAGTTTAAGAGCTTTTTGACGAATATCATACTATCATTCACAAGTTAAAGGTAACATTAACAATTGCAGAATTAGAAATCATGATTTAAATATAATTCATAATGAGCTCACTTGTGCAAGATCACTAGGTGAAGCTTTGGGATCTTTCATCAAATTTTTAACCAACTTTCTTTTATTAACTAGATTTGCTATTAGTTTAGGAAGGATCCCTTGAGGCAAGCCAGATTCGGGAAGATTAGGAAGCAAATCATCCGTTTCCTACAAATGAATTGTT